GAGATGCTAACAAAATCAGTACAGATGATGAACAGTTAAAGGAAAGAAGTAACTAGCCTTGTTAGTAAACAGCATTGTTAAGAGATTCATCTTTGAAGCCAAAAACCATGGATTTGATCCTGAATCAGACATATACTGGAATGTGATTTGATAAGATTTTTAACCTGTTTTTGATCTAAGTTTATTTTAGTTCACCATTTTGTATCATCCCAGATCTCTCATTGACATAAGCACTTAAAGGAACATTGCTTTTTGTTGGTAACTTATAAAGAACTTTGTACCTATCATTGCCTTATGTGCATTTTCATACAACATTTGGTAGCAAAACATCTTCATATAAATATCCCAATTTTTTTATTGGTGTAACACATGGAAGAAATCTGCACTAACTACATAATCTGGATTATAACACATGGAAGTTAAAAAATGATACAAAAATTTTCATACAAAATCAAAAAGTAATTCGACTGCAGTTGAGTCATTCTGTAATATATTGCAGAATATCACAATCTGAAATAGACGTTTTATAGCATTTAGAAAGATGTCCAGAAAAATTGTTTAATCAGGGATATTATCTTATGAATATTTTGACACATTACTTTTCATTAAAATAGTCTAAAAATATGTAAGGCAATCTAAACAGTATTTTGCAAACATTCTTAATAATTATATTTTGTAATGGAATCATGGGTAGCAAGCCAAGAACACTGAAAAAAGTATTTGACACACTGATGACATATATACAGTATAACTCCATAATGGATTACCTGATGGGCAGTTAGGCAGGAATGCACACTAAAGGCTTTGTCACACTCACTACACTCGTGAGGTTTTTTTCCTGGTATGAATTCTACGATGAATTGCAAGGTGTGAACTTTGAGTAAAGACCACGCCACACTCACTACACTTGTAAGGTTTTTCTCCAGTATGAATTCTACGATGAATTGCAAGCTGTGCCCTTTGAGTAAAGACCTTGCCACATTCATCACATTTGTAAGGTTTTTCTCCAGTATGGATTACCTGATGGATAGTTAGATTTGAATCTGTACGAAAGGCCTTGCCACACTCACTACACTTGTAAGGTTTCTCACCAGTATGAATCCTCCAATGATTTGCAAGATGTGAATTTCGAGTGAAGACTTTGCCACATTCATTACACGTGTAAGGTTTCTCTCCAGTATGAACTCTCCGATGATTTGCTAGACTTGAAGACCGACTGAAGACCTTGCCACATTCATCACATTTGTAAGGTTTTTCTCCAGTATGAATTCTCCAATGTATTGCATGATGTAAACTTCGAGTGAAAACTTTACTACATTCAGTACACTTGTAAGGTTTCTCTCCGGTATGAACTCTCCTATGTATTGTAAGGTTTGAAGGATAACTAAAGACCTTGCCACATTCATTAAGTTTGTAAGGTTTTTCCCACGTGTTTGCTCTTTGTCCTTGTGAGAGTGATGAAGAATAGATAAAGTCATCCCCATACTGTTTAGAAATGAGAGTTTTGACACTTGAACAAATTCCTTGAACTGGTGAAACTGAAAAACCTTTTTTCAGAGGTTTCTCAATTTGATGACATTCATAAAATTTCCATTCAGACTGAGACACCTGCAGCTCAGGCAGATGTGACTGAAAGCTAAATCCAACCTGAGTCTTATCAGGCATTTTTCCTGCATGCCTTCTAACATGTTGATCTCTTCTACCAGTGAGACTCTCTTTAAGGGTCATGGATGTTCCATTGCAATTTCTTTCATTATCTCTCCACTGACATTCAAAGACATGTATATTTTTCTGGTCTTCCCTGAAGGAAAAGTCTTCAATGTCATGGCTTTCATGTCTTTCCAACATCATTGCTTGAAATACTTCTCCTGTACTCTTGTTCCCTTTTGATGGTAATTCCTTCATTACACATTCAAGAAAGATACCTACAAAATATAAAGAATCATAGGTTTCCAATTAATTATAGTATGTAAGTGAATATATCACACTGAAAAACATAGCATTACATCAAAAATACTTATATTGAACAGACTTATGAAACTTCACAACCGTAAAATTCTTTTTCAAGAAGACAGAAGGAATAGGATTCTTTAATAAACAAAAGGTGATTACATGTAATTCAAATTAATAGTAGGGAAGCCTATTTTCAAACAACCTACAGCTAAGACACTCACTTTGCACAAAGGTACGTCAGCCCTGAAAGAGAAAGGGATTTTTACACCATGAACTCAACTGGCAAAAAACACTTGGCTTATTAATTAATGTGCTTATTAATTCTTTGCCTGCTTGTTTTATCTTGGGTTGCTAGAATGTTTTATTAACTTCCATTATGATTTACAGATGATGGTTTTTCAGTATGCATTATGCAATAAAACATTCACATGCCACTTGTTAATATTGCAAAATGTTCTGTATGGTTATAGATTGTTTTATCACAGATATTTAGAAAACTAATATTTTTTGACATTGTTTTATTGAATTCTTCCTTGTTTGTTAAGTGCCATTGTTTTCCTATTCAAAATTTCCACTTTAGCCACTCATTATATGAGTTCTTGGTGGACTGTTTCTTATAATAGTATATCATATTGTGTATTAGCATTTCTTTGTATATAATAAATATTTTATTAAAGCCAGTCAAGATGGCAGAATAAATGGTCCCCAGCATCACTCTCTCTCAGAAATCAACCAATTTACAACTATATAAAAAAGCAACAACACTCAAGCTGGGGCCAGTAGAGCTCAGGGGAAGAGGAGGAGAGACCTACAGAGTGCATGAAGGCAGAATAAGACATGATGAGAGAAAGAAAAAAACGTTCATCATTTTGTGCTGTGGCTGCTTTATGGCTGCAGCCACTGAGCACATAGAGTAGGAGCCAGCAAAAGCTGCAACTGTGCCCTTCAGAGGAGTTGCTTGCAGGTGGCAGGCGAGAAGAGGGCCTTGGTGGCCCCCAGGCAAACAAAACTACTCATAGGGTTCCTATTGACCCACATAGGAGCGAGGAGCCACAACAACCCAAAAAATGGACCCACTCCAAGGCTGGTGAATCATCACAATGGACTGGTGCACAGCCCATCCCAAGGAAGTGTTTGCACCATAGGCAGTGCGAGAGATGGGCCCACAGGGGAAACACTATGGCACAGCAAGGACAGCTGATCTGTACTCCAATCGGCATAAGACCACTCAGAGGAGACAGGTTAGGATTATAGAATTGCATGGGGTGAAGTTTGATGGAGATTCAGGCTCAGATCAGAGTTACTACACAACCCAGGTGCACTGAGTCTCTGGACAGCAAGAAGTACCTATAAAGTCAACCACTATAACCTGTGCTGCACAAAAAGCCTTCCCTAGGGAAGGAGCAGCAAAGCAGCAATCTAACTAAACCACAGAGCTCAAGTACTGGTCCCCCAAGGATGTTCGAGCATTTTAGAAGTAAGCAAAAGAAAAAAGCTTAGTTTCAGCTCAGACACACAACTAGCACCACAGTTCTGCCCAGGGACATGAGTCACGGATCCGGGGAATGGTGCCCCCTCCCCTCAACCAGGCGCACTACTCCAGTGCCTCAGGGCCCACCCAGGGACCTGAGGGATAGAGCTGCGGAATGGGATTCCCTCCACTCAACCAGCCAAATGACAACAGCGCCTCAGGTTCCGCCCATGGACCCGATGGATGGAGCTGGGGCCCAGACACTCCCACAGCCAGGCACACCGCCAGTGCCAAGGAGCATGCCAATAACAACACCTCCACGTGGTTGGCCCACCACAGCTAGCACAATAACCATGGCTGATGTGAAAGTGGCTAGATGCCACAACCACCATGCAGATGGTCTGCTAGCCACTGGAGTACACTGATACAGCGAGAGTCACCAGCAGAGATAAAGTAGAGGATGTCTTCCCCCACAAAGATCATTTCAGAGTGATAGAAGCACCACCTGCTCTATGATCATGTTGGGGGACCTGAACACACATCTCAGCATTGGACAGATCATCTAGGCAACAAATCAACAGAGTAACCATTACTCTTGCAGAAGGAGAGAAGAAATCTAGGGTAATTAGAGGGGGCAGGGGAATGGGGTGAGATTGGACAAGGGACATAAAGAACAAGTAGTATTTGTAACAATATAATATGCCAGTAATATTGATTTGATCGATGTATCCCAACGTTGAACTGCAAAAATATGTACGATCAATTATGATTCAATAAAAATTATAAACAAATAAATAAAGTGTACATATAAAGGAGAACATGCAGTACCTATATTTCTGTGCCTGAATAATTTCACTTAGCAAAGTTCATCCATATTAAATGTTGGTTCATCCATGTTGCAGACACAACCTCCTTCTTTTGAGGGCTTAATACAATTCCATTCTCAATATATACCACATTTTCCTTATCCATTCATCCATGATGAACACGTACGTTGATCCTATATCTTGCCTATTGTGAAAAATGCTACAGTGAACATAGAGTGTATATATCTCTTGGACATACTGATTTCAAATCCTTTATAGATATACCCAAAGATAGGACTGCTACACTATATGGTAATTCAGCTTTTGAGTTTTAGAAAAACTTCCGTACACTTTTCCATAATGGCTGTACTAATTTACATCCTCACAAACTGTACAAGGCTTCCCTTTTCTCCATATCCTCCTTAACTCTTATCTTTTGTCTTTCTGACAATAGCCATTCTGACAAATCTTAGGTGTTATCTCATTGTAGTTTAAATTTGCATTTCCATAATAAGTGACGTTGAGCTTTTTTTCATCTATCTGTTGGCCATTTCTATGTCCTCTTTCAAGAAATGTCTATCGAGGTCCTTTCCTCATTTTTAAATCGGGTTATTTATTTTCATGTGATTGAATTGCTTCAGTTTCTTATACTTTTACAATATTAATCCACTGTAAAATGTAAAACATGGAAATATTTTCTCAATCTGTAGGTTGTGCCTTCACTTTGCTAATTGTTTCCTTTACTCCGCAGAAGCATTTTCATTTGATGCAATCCGACTTGTCTATTTTTGTTTTTGTTGGTTGATCTTTTGGAGACAAATTCAAGGAAATCATTACTACAATCAATGGCATTTTGTTTTTCCCATTTTCTTTTAGTAGTTACATAAGTTCTGGTTTTATGTTTAAGTCTTTAATCCATTTTTTGCTAATTTTTGTATATGGTATGACATAAAGATCCAATTTCATTCTTCTGCTTTTGAATATCCAGTGTTTCCGGCACTACTTATTGAAGAGACTGTCCTTTTTCCAGCTACCACAGCTACAAAAAATAAATTTCCTTGGTTTAAGCCTCCTAATCTATGGTATTTTTTTGTGGCAGGATGAGTTTACTAAGACAGGCCAAAGACTGTGTTTTGATAAACATAATAGAGGGTTGATAAATCTTATGCAAAGAAACTTTTGTCTTTAATGTAAAACCTGCAATATTCCACACTATGTAACAGCACTAAATTTTTGAAAAATCCTTGAGGTGAATTATCATTATTTTGAATAATGACCACAGGCCCACAGAGTTTATGTATCTAACCCCAATTTTTGCAGAAGGTAAGTGTATCTCCAAAGGATTTAAAATCAGTATGTCCAATACATATGTGCACTCTAAGTTCACTGCAGCATTTTCACAACAGGCAAGTAATGAAATCAACCTATGTGTTCATCATGGGTGAATGGATAAGGAAAATGAGGTACATATTCAGAATGAAGTTGTATTCAGCCCTCAAAAGAAGAAGGCTGTGTATACAACATGAATGAACAAAATTTGATGCTGGCAGTGCATGTTCATATAGCATGTTCTTACGCAGGGCTGCTCACACAGGCACTAAAGACAATAATAGGTCACAGCAAACACAGTGAGCATTAAAAATAATATTTCAAGGGATATACAAGAGCTCTGTGGCCAGCAGTGTTACTCAGCCATCTCTCATGGATAATGATATCTGCGTCTTAACCCCCTGCACATATTGCACCCCCTGCACATACTGACTTAAGCAGAACCCTAAAAAAATTGTCCTGTATATGAGTAGGGGTCTTGCATTACACACTGAGAGCAGTCTGTGGGTTCCTGTGGAAATTGGAATGTTAAAGTGAACAATGTTAATATTCTAGGAAGTAATAGTATAGTCTATCTCAATCAAACTACCATGAGAAGAAAGGCCAAGATGCAGGAAAGGCAAGAATGCAGGGCACGGAGTAATGAGCATGTGGGAGTAGACTTTGTGCTTGCAAATCTGTGGATATATAACTTCCACAGCTAAATAAAGGATCTTAATACCACACCTTGGAAGAAAAAAGGAAATATTTAACACGCAGCGTAATACTGATGCATTCTTAACTATGAGAATTAGATCATGGAAAGGATCAAAAATGGAAGGGATTTAAAAGGAAGGGAATATGATGTAGTAGAAAGAAAACAGGTTTATACCTCTCACAACATTGTACAGGTAGTAAAAGTAAAAACAGATAACTGGTACAGCAATAGAACAAATTAACAGAATAAAAAGAAAACCTACAAAGAGAAAGAAAATATTTGCAAAACTTCTGTCTATTAGAGGGTGAATATCTGGAATATAGAAAGATCTCCTATACGTCAACAACAAAAACCAGATAACCCACTAAAAAATAGTGCAAAGAAACAAAATACACATTTCTACAGAGATGATGTACAAATCACCAACAAGCAGATGAAAAGATGCAAAATATCATTAGAAAAAAGAAAATAAAAAAACAGTGAGATGTCACCTCACACTTATTAGGATGTTTACTCTCAAAAGGAAGAGAAAATAAAAAGTCTTGGTGAACAGGTGGAGAATTGGGAGACTTGTTCCCTGTTGGTGGAAATATAAAACGGTGCAGCCACTATGGAAAAAAGTATAATGTTTCCTCAAATAATTCAAAACTGAATTATCATATGAACCAACAATTGAAAAACAAGAATGAAAGAGGTATCTGTAAACATGTGTTTCTAGCAGCATTATTCAAAATACCCACAAGGGGACAGCAAATCCTGTATCCATCGCTGATGAATACAAAAACAACCTGTGGTACTGGAACGTTATTCAGCCTTAAAAAAGATGAAAATCCTCTTATATGCCACAGGATGGATAAACCTAAAGGCCACCATGTTAAGTGAAATAAGCAAGTCATCAAAAGACAAATACTGTATGTTTCCATTTAAATGAGGAATCTAAACTAGTGAAATCTGTATAAACAGAAAATAAAATGGTACTTCCCAGGGGCTAGACAAAGAGAAACAGAANAGAGGAACATGAGGATGAGGTAATACTATTCTATAGATTAGTAGATATATAGCTGTTAGTGCGAATGAATGAAAATTAATGTGCACTTATCCAAAATTAATCAATCTGACAGCATAATTGTCACCAGGAGAACATAAGTCACATTAGGGGAAAATTTAGGAAATGATCAAAGTGGGGAATGGCTTCCGTTGAAGGGGGCTGTTAGCAGCAGCAAAGTGCGGACACATTTCCTGGTAGTGCTGGGGACACCCACAGAGAAGGTCATCAGCAACATAAGCAGCAAATAAAAGCCAGAGGACAACAGGCCAGCACTAGAGGGTGGGTTCACAGAGACCAGGTGAATGTTACAGGAAATTCAGATGAAAAGAAAGAGGGAACACAACAGTCTACATGTGTGAGCCCAAGAATGGAAGTTCCACAATTTTAGACATATGCCATAAATACAGATATTATAAAAGAACATTGGAAATGTAAGAAGTAGAGTAAGTTTCTTGTAAAGTATAAAAAAAAACACCAGAAATATAAGAAGTAGAGTAAGATTCTTGTAAAAAACAATGAGATATTTAAAAATGTAATTCAGTACACCAAGATGGACATGAAGAATGTAGACATGGAGAATAAGTATTACAATACATCATTTTTCAAAGAAATAAAACCTCAGTGACATTTAAATGAAACGTAGGAAGTATGTTTACAAAAGTGAAAACACACTATAGAAAAAAATGAGACATAAAAACGAATTAATGTGAATCAATTCAATGGAATTTTTAGGATTAAGACAGTATCTTAATAAAGGAAAAAAGTATATTCTCAAGATATCAAAAATTCCCAA